AAATCAACACAAAATTGGGAGGAATTAACCGCATTCTAGACCAACGGCCGGACAAACCGGAAGTCCTACGCAAACCCAATTGGCGGGTAATGATTATCGGCGCCGACGTCACACACCCGGCGCCCGCAGACAAGTTGGAGACATCGGTGGCCGCCTGTATCGGCTCCATAGACGCCGATCACTGCAAATACTCGGCCACTATTCGGGCTCAGGAGAGGACTACCAGAGCGCAGGCCGTGGAGATGATCAAGGAGTTCGACCTCATGATTAGGGACTTGTTGGGCGAGTATACCAAAGCGCTGGGAGGTCTGCCCAACCATATCATCTATTATAGGTTTGTAATGAGTTTTTAAAATTTGTATTTTGCTTTGCAATGCTTGTCATACCTGTCCTATACTTACACAGGGATGGGGTGTCGGAGTCGCAGTTTGAGACTGTGCTAGACTACGAGCGCCGGAAACTGCTTGAGGGCTGTCGCGCGGAGGGCTGTACCCCGAAAGTGACGTTCATTACGGTTCAGAAACGACACCACACGCGCTTCCGACCCATGGACGCGGCCCGGGGTATAGGCCGCATGCGGAACATACCGCCCGGCACTACAGTGGACAGCCATGTCGTGCACCCCACGGACTTTGACTTCTACCTGTGCTCTCATGAGGGCATTCAAGTAGGCGTTGGTGTAGTGTTTAGTGATTATACCCCTTATTTAACTACTGTTCCACTATTCCATTGAGTATAGGGTACATCCCGTCCCACCCATTACTACGTACTGCACGACGACTACGGCTTCAAAGCCGATGAGCTCCAGAAGCTGTCGTACTACCTGTGCTACGTGTACGCCCGGTGCGATAAGCCCATCAGCATACCGGCGCCCGTACAGTACGCCCACTTGGCCGCCTACCGCGCGCGCAGTCACATCGTGGCCTATAATCAGGGCGGCGACGGCCCCTCCCGTCCCGCGCGCGACGAGACTGAACCCCAGCGCCGGCACCGGGAGAACGAGTTGGCCGCCGATCTCAACCGTCGCATTACAGTGAACGCGACGGTCAAGAATAACATGTATTACTGTTAGGGGGAACGGTATGTGTGTTCCCCCAATGAGCGCCGGTAGGCATTGTTTGATGCACTAGTTTATTGGTATATAATTACTGCCCGCGCGGTCCATATGTTATATGCAATATATATCTATAGCTTGTGTTATCCGATGGCGTCCAGTGATGGCCAGGCCCTCAAAGTTGGCACTCATATCATATATGTGTTGTGTGTGTGTGGGGACAGGTGGTTAGGGAACGGTATGTTTAGTCAGCACTTGTCAGTAGTGTTTTTGGTTTACGCCAGAGTTTTGCTTATTTTTTATACATTTTTACCGGTTATGAGTGTATTCACAGTCCAGTTCCTCCTGCTAGCATACCTGTCCCCCTCTGGCCAGCACTGGTATTATATTATATTTTTTTAAAATAAATATATAATCGTTTTGTTATTTTTTTGCTATTATTTTATAAGTTATTTGACTTTTTATGAGTGAATTACTCTATAATAATGACTGAAAAACTTCATTTCTAGTGATTATATGAATTAGTTTTTCATATATTTTTTGATTAACGTTAAGTTTTTTTTGTGTGTCACACAGTACCCCGGTATATTATCACGTAAACCCGCTTATAGTGAGCACCAGTATTATTATTATTATTATTATATTCACTACACTATTATGTGTTTTAATTATTGTTAATCTCTATGTTATAAATCAATGCAATTTTTTTTAACTTTATTTTAGTCACAATATCTAATCAAATGTAACTTAAAATGTTATAAATTTTTTGACAAACACATTCCCATGTATTGTGTATAATCTATTATAATGTGCCCTGTTTATGGGTATGTTGTAATAGCATTTATGTGATTTTTAAGTACACCATACAACATATTTTTACTTATTATTTAAGCACAAGTTTATCTCAATTATATGCAAACTATTAGCGCATATATTAATGGGTTAAACGATTATTATCTAGTTATTTGAGTTCACTATAAGCCGGCTTATTTGGAGTACACTAATCACCTATATAATCTATTCGCATATTTTTATTTTAATATTTTATTTCAGTTTTAAATTTATTTATTTTTATATTATTAATGTTATAATATAATTGTAGACTAATGTTTATTTCATATAAAGTTTATTTGATAAATTGAATAAAAAGTGAAAATTATTTTTATTTTGAAAAGTATTTTTGCATTCATTTCAATGGATTCTATGATTTTATATAACATTTCAAGAGAGAGAGAGAGAGAGAGAGAGAGTCAATGATATAGCAAAAGGTATAAAGATTACATAATTCATTAATTGGGTTATTCTATGGGAATAACTGTGTGGGCATATTATTATCAGGGATGTTTTATAGTGGTGTACAATATTTTATGTCTACAATTATATTTGTAGTGTTTATCCAATACATTGCCGTTTGGATATTATCGGTGATAACTGTGGAGATGAGTGTAGTTCCCCATTAAGGGGGTACCGATAGTAGGGTATCATTATTACCCATAATAAGCGTATTTCTCTATACATTCCCTATTCTTATCGCACGATAAATACAGATAAATAATATAATTTCCATATAATATTTGTTTTGCACTCTATTTATACGATAGTATATTATAGTTGCTATAAGAGAGAGAGAGAGAGAGAGAGAGAGAGACCTCGATAACTATATGACAATTATCTGAGAAATTCTATTATTATTATTAGTATTACAAGTATTTGTCGTCTCATTCATCGCTGACTAAACTGTAAAATAGTTTGTTTTCTCTCATATATTATATAATAAAATACATATAATATTGTCATTAATTTATTGTATGTTTGCTCGAAATACCTGTAATACTAAGCGTCGAGTGCTTTTCCGGTGAGAGATTATTACCACTAAACCCAATACGAGACTACAAAAAGTATAACTGACTTTCGCACCGGTATATCAACAACACAAAAAAGGTGTGCGATATTGTGTATTAAATCACCATTTTATGCATCTTTTACTTGGTGTTTATTTCAAATTAAATGTTTCGCATAATTTATCACTGATTGTTTTTAATTGGGAATAATGGAGGTAATAAAATTTTTATCATTATTTTCGCATATACCGTATACTTGAATATATTTAATTGCCTAGTACTTTCCCACTTACTTGCAAATTCTAACTTAAGCTGTAACTAAATAATAAATGAAAAGTTTAAACATTTAAAAGTTAAAAGTTATATATAATAAAACATTGTAAGGATACCTAACCTAACCTAACCTAACCTTTTAGCTATTAATTACATTTAATAAATATTTAGCATACATACCATATAAACAAAAAAATAATTTATTAAATTATTAAAAATAATAAATAAAATAAACAATACGGTATAATTAAGCTCACTAACTATCTTAACACTATACTAATTTTTAACACTGACCAATATTGAGCAAGTACATTTTAATTTATCAATCGCTACCACCAACAGAGAACCGGCTCAAACACGTCGGACACGTCCACGAGTTCGCACGTCAAACGGTCGGCCTCTTACCGGATAGCACTGCGACGCTCAGCACCGGTAGTGAAGTCGGCGCCGGGACCCGACTCGGGCACCGACAGCGACAATGACAGCCCAAACACGCGCGACAACAGCCCCAACACTACAGTCAAAAGTGTCGCTACGATGAACGGCACCGGCGGTAACGGAACGCCTATCGTAGTCACACAACAGCCGCAAATATATCCCGATTTAAGAAAAGAGAGTGGAAATGGAGTTACGGCGGCACCGGGAGGTGACAAACCAGAGCTCGAGCCTATGCTCCAGTCGGGTAAGGGTGGGGCTAATGGTGCGGAGCCCGAGATAGGCGGCGCCCTACCCGGCAGTCATAAGGCCAGCGAAGTGCACTACGAGGAGGGGAACGGGTGTATGAAGTGGTGCTGTTGTTGGTGTTGCTGTAATTACTGTCAGTGCTGTCCCAACTGCTGTATGAATGGTATGGTGCGAGTGGAGGGGTGGTTCAATGGGGCGGCCGACTGGACCTTAAACTGTTTCCGCGTGTTTAGCCGTTAAATACGATATATTTTTTTAGGAGGGGCTGATGTATGTACAGTAAAGTTTGAACATTAATTTACTATTTACTATACTAAAGTGATTTAAGTGATTATTTGTGTGAGTGTTGGGTACGTACTTATTGGATGACCCCGTTTCAAGAATATTCTGTATGTGTATTCAATATACATAATATTCGACACTAAGTTTTAAGCTAGTAATTTTTTATATAAAGTTTTTTATTATATATACAACACTATTATTTTGATGTTAGCCTAACATGTATGGTGTGATATTCTGGTCCAGTTCATTTTTAAAAAACGTATTAAACTAAAAAGTATTTTATAATTATATTATATTATAATACAGTATGTTATAAGTTTTTTATTTACACTACCGGTATATATAAATATATTATTCTGGTTGTATTTGTAATAATTAAGCCTACATATTTGATTAATAAAAATATTTTATAGATTTTTATTATAAAACCTACTGTTAAATTGTTTTAAAATAATACCACGTTATTATCTAGGCAAATCTTCGTAATAACAATACTTACGTTTAATTTACCAAATATTAAATTCATATTATTAATTAATAAATTACAGTATTGGTGAAAGCTAATAAAAATTATGGTTTTTATTATACACTTAATCGATAGCATATTATAATACACAGTATTATATAATATTTTGAAATCGTGAATAAGGAAAATACAGATATTTGTCATAAATTATAAACGTTATACAATTTAAAACATTTATTAAATGTCGGAATCAGACAAATAATTTTGTTATTTTCCAATAAATATCGCATTTAATGAATAAATGCTTTTAAAATTGAGCACAAAAAGGTAAGTGATATCAATCTATCATTACCTTTATATTAGTAATGGTAAGCAAAAATTGATTTTGAGTGTTGTTTTTTGGGCAATAAAATAACACGTTTTTATGAAAAACCACTGATCAGTGGATCATTTTATAAGCTTTAGGCAAATCATATGCCTTTCAAAGTTTAATGGCATTATTGAAATTGTCACAAAAAATTATATCGACTTGTATTTCATATTATATACAGTATTGAGATATGTTATATGAGTGCTATTATTTTATTATTGTTAATATATTACTTATAAATTATATGTTATAATGTAGAAATATTACAGAGTTAATTACTTGTTTATCTACTTTTAAAGTATTAATTGTTATATAGTATATACCCTGGCTATTGATATATGAACATTTGACATGCCTAAAAATGCATTCATTTCTTACAGTGCTATCAGGTATAGGACATAATGAACTTGTTTATGATACTGCAAGTGACATAGTCTCATATAATATCTAACCATTTTCAAAAAACCAAAAAGGTCATATTATTATTCTATGCAAAATTTTTTATAAACTTTATTTAAATAGTAAATTATGACCTATGTTGTTACGATAGACTTTATGAGAGTATTTTATGAATAAAAATATAATTATCAATTAGGTGGACCAGGCACTAAAATGTGAAAATATAATTTTTTCTTAAATATTTATATTAATTAAAATATTTTATTAAAAAAGTAAAATATGTATTTAAGTTAGAGTTCACAGCAATATATTACTAAATTGTACTGTATGATGAAATTAGTAAATAATGTTGCATAATTAATTTATCGATTAAACGCGGTATCATTAATAATTCATTAGATTACAATACTAAACTTATAACCAGTATGAATTTGACAATAATTGCAGTATTTAGCAATGTGAAAAATTTTATATTGTATATTTTTTATAAAAAATAGTAAAAATTATTTATACTTACTTTTTACCGGGAAATAAATTGCTAGTTAATTGTATTTATAGGGATGAGTTATATTTATATTAGCGGTCAGTATAAATAGTGATTTGCATTATAAACATGTCACATTTCACATAACTAGCATACATTAGGAAATATATAACAATTTTATTAAATACACTGTATTAATTATAACTATTGACTGCACCACTATTAATACCGGTGCGAGTTTTGTATATATTATATTTTTTGATGTGTTTTTAATTTAGAGCTTGTTTTAGCAAATTTAAAATAGTCAACTAACCTGATATAAGGGTCATAAAACTAAATTGCTAATTAAAAGTCGTGAGTAATGTATTAAATGTTTATGTTTTAGTTATATGAACACAAATAACATTATTCCGGATTATAAAATGATATATATTTCATAAAAAGTAATTTTATAATTATATATAATATATAAATTTATTAAAACAAATATATGCTTGGACCTTTATAAAGTATTTGTTTTATAAACCTTAATTTTAATTGTCCTTACATTAATAATTTAAATTTAAATGTAGCATTTAACATTTGTAATAATACTACAACTATTACCGTAAGTTTTATATAATTATTTAAAATAAAATCAATATTTTGATTGGTTAAATATAAATGCTAACATTTAAATTGGTTTATATTAGGTAACCCAAAATAAATTATAATTTTAGCATTACAAGTAATTATAATACGATTATAAAAATATTAATTTATTTACGCATTCTGCATGTATAAACAATTATATAAATAGCAATTAGTATTTATTGTAACCATTTTACACATATCCTTATACGAGGAAAGGCATACTAAATACAAAACGGCAATACTCTAGCAACAAAAAGTACAGTTATCTGTCACATGAGTCCTCATATTAGACACACAAAAAAGTTACAAATTATTTATGTTTTTCGCGTAAAAAGTGCTTTAATTTTTGTGTTGCATTTAAGCCGTGAGTTGAGTGTAGAAAAACAAATAACAAAAACTTTTTTCTGCACACAAAAAACAAAACAAAACTTTCGTTTTTAATCAGATTAGCCGTTAAGGTGGAGGGAGACTAGTATTACGGCTAACCCTTATTCACTTGTGTAATGGTTATACACTTTTGTTGGTTTTATTTTTAACACATTTTTGAGATATTATATAAAATGTGAAAATGTCTCATTTACAAACATTGTGTCTCATTTGTGGTTTTTGAATTAAAAAGTGTAGTTTTAGTAATTTATATAAACTTGTTTGCACAAATATGCTTAAAGTAAGTGCTCAATAATACGTTATTCATTAAGTTTACATAATTAATATTTTAATTAATTGCAATATATTAGACAATTATGCGAAAATATTTAATTATGTAGTATATTTATAAATATAAATGCTATTGGTAAATATAATAAGTTGCTTTATTGGTAGATTTTAACAATTGGTGATAATTGCCTAATACAATTAATATTATTTATTTTCAAAGGGTATAAAAATATTTTA